AATGAATGGAAAGGAAAAGAAGCAATTACATTACGATATGTTTGAATTATTAGCACTTTTGAAAATAAAGGATTAATGCATTAATAATGGACAAATTCTATAAAGTAATAAAATGTACCTGGAATGGAGACATATTTCGCTGCATCCACAATGATGTTGCCGTTGTCATAGAGTGAACACGTGTAGTTCCTCCACCCAAAACAATGTTTCGTTGTGTTTGGAAATTGAAGACTTATTGCTACGTTACTACTTGAAGGTTGAAAGGTCAGTTGGTACGAGTTGTTGTCCTTTTGTGTTGTTCCGTTGACATAACCAACAGCGACAATNTTCTATAAAGTAATAAAATGTACCTGGAATGGAGACATATTTCGCTGCATCCACAATGATGTTGCCGTTGTCATAGAGTGAACACGTGTAGTTCCTCCACCCAAAACAATGTTTCGTTGTGTTTGGAAATTGAAGACTTATTGCTACGTTACTACTTGAAGGTTGAAAGGTCAGTTGGTACGAGTTGTTGTCCTTTTGTGTTGTTCCGTTGACATAACCAACAGCGACAATACCAGTACTGATGTCAGAAGACATTAGTTTAATCTCATTCCAGGTATTTGGTGCATATTGAACGTTGCAAGCAATGAGTAGATCACCATGAGAAGATGTGAGCGAGCTGTCGAGTTGTATTTCTGTGAAAAGAAGAAATTATGCATACTCATGGTTTTGTGCATGTCAAATTCCATTTATCATTTCCCTGCTTACATAAAAGTTATACCCCATGATTGTTGGAATAATATTGACAATCATTTTATCACTGGATTAGTGAAGTTTTGTTTTACATTATCTAGCCAATTTTACGAGAATCTGAAGTTATACATATTTTAATACGATTATTTTGACTTATATGATGACCAGGCCAGTGACCTTTCTCGTTTAAGTCACGATGAAATACAGAAGTTGACTAATATCAATATATAACAATATTTGACTACAAAAAATGACCACCTACCTCCCGCCACTACTCTGAGAGTGAGCACGCCGCTACTGGCGTTAGAAAGTATGATCTCGTCTATCGCCATGCACTTCAATCTGGTTCCATTTTGACTTCTGTCAGCAAGGATGCTATAGGTTTTTGTTGTTGTATAGTAACAAGAATCGTTCGAGGTACCATTGCCTTCAACAGGGACGCCTTTAACCTTTTCTACGGTATCCGTCTTTATTCTGTATAAGTGTAATGCCGCACTGGTGGATAAATTCCCTGTACACGTAATAGCGTACCTGTCTCCTTCATTTAATGCACTGTTCCCTGATATTTTGATAGTATTGGACATACCTGCAATAGAATAAAAGATCTGTAAATAAAAAGACACTTTTCATTTTAACGCTATACTACAATTTGTAATATTCGTAAATTGGTAGATAAATCTTGCAATTATTTCCTTTTTTTAAAATTGTGCTAAATACGTTTATCTTACATGTTGTTGTTGTTGTCGTTTGCATGGTAGTCGTTATGGTGTCAGTTGTGGTTACTGATTCTGTTGACGTAGTGGTGGGATCGGTCGTAGTTGTATCTGTTGGCTTAGCAGTATTGGCTGATGATGATACTGTTTCTGTTGAAGTCGTAGTTGGTTTGGCAGAGGTGGTAGCTGTTTCAAAGGAAGTAGTAGTTGTATCTGTTTCTGTGGAGGTCGTGGTTGGTTCGGCTGTAGTTGTATCTGTTTCTGTGGATGTCGTGGTTGGTTTGGTTGTAGTTGTATCTGTTTCTGTAGAGGTCGTGGGTGGTTTGGTTGTAGTTGTATCCGTTTCTGTGGGGATCGTGGTTGATTCGCTTGTAGATGTATTTGTTTCTGTGGGGATCGTGGTTGATTCGGTTGTAGATGTATCTGTTTCTGTGGGGATCGTGGTTGATTCGCTTGTAGATGTATTTGTTTCTGTGGGGATCGTGGTTGATTCGGTTGTAGATGTATCTGTTTCTGTGGGGGTCGTGGTTGATTCGCTTGTAGATGTATTTGTTTCTGTGGGGGTCGTGGTTGATTCGCTTGTAGATGTATTTGTTTCTGTGGTGATCGTGGTTGATTCGGTTGTAGGTGTATCTGTTTCTGTGGGGATCGTGGTTGATTCGGTTGCAGATGTATCTGTTTCTGTGGGGATCGTGGGTGATTCGCTTGTAGATGTATTTGTTTCTGTGGGGCTCGTGGTTGATTCGGTTGTAGATGTATCTGATTCTGTGGGGATCGTGGTTGATTTGGTTGTAGATGTATCTGTTTCTGTGGGGATCGTGGTTGATTCGGTTGTAGTTGTATCTGTTTCTGTAGAGGTCGTGGTTGGTTTGCTTGTAGTTGTAACTGTTTCTATAGAGGTCGTTGTTGGTTTGGTTGTAATTGTATCTGTTTCTGTAGAGGTCGTGGTCGGTTCGGTTGTAGTTGTATCTGTTTCTGTAGAGATCGTGGTTGGTTTGGTTGTAGTTGTAACTGTTTCTGTAGAGGTCGTTGTCGGTTTGGTTGTAGTTGTAACTGTTTCTGTAGAGGTCGTGGTCGGTTTGGTTGTAGTTGTATCTGTTTCTGTAGAGGTCGTTGTCGGTTTGGTTGTAGTTGTAACTGTTTCTGTAGAGGGCGTTGTCGGTTTGGTTGTAGTTGTAACTGTTTCTGTAGAGGTCGTGGTTGGTTCGGTTGTAGTTGTATCTGTTTCTGTAGAGGTCATGGTTGGTTTTGCTGTAGTTGTAACTGTTTCTGTAGAGGTCGTTGTTGGTTTTGTTGTAGTTGTATCTGTTTCTGTAGAGGTCGTTGTTGGTTTGGTTGTAGTTTTAGCTGTTTCTGTAGAGGTCGTGGTTGGTTTGGTTGTAGTTGTATCTGTTTCTGTAGAGGGCGTTGTTGGTTTTGTTGTAGTTGTATCTGTTTCTGTAGAGGTCGTTGTTGGTTCGGTTGTAGTTGTATCTGTTTCTATAGAGGTCGTGGTTGGTTTGGATGTAGTTGTAACTGTTTCTGTAGAGGTCGTTGTTGGTTTGGTTGTAGTTGTTACTGTTTCTGTAGAGGCCGTGGTCAGTTTGGTTGTAGTCGTAACTGTTTCTCTAGAGGTCGTTGCTGGTCTGGTTGTAGTTGTAACTGTTTCTGTAGAGGTCGGGGTTGGTTCGGTTGTAGTTGTATCTGTTTCTATAGAGGTCGTTGTTGGTCTGGTTGTAGTTGTTACTGTTTCTGTAGAGGCCGTGGTCAGTTTGGTTGTAGGTGTATCTGTTTCTGTAGAGGGCGTTGTTGGTTCGGTTGTAGTTGTATCTGTTTCTGTAGAGGTCGTGGTTGGTTCGGTAGTTGTTGTTGCTGTTTCTGTAGAGGTCATGGTTGGTTTTGCTGTAGTTGTATCTGTTTCTGTAGAGGTCGTTGTTGGTTTTGTTGTAGTTGTTGCTGTTTCTGTAGAGGTCGTTGTTGGTTTGGTTGTAGTTGTTACTGTTTCTGTAGAGGTCGTGGTTGGTTCGGTTGTAGTTGTAACTGTTTCTGTAGAGGTCGTTGTTGGTTTGGTTGTAGTTGTAGCTGTTTCTGTAGAGGTCGTGGTCGGTTCGGTTGTAGTTGTAACTGTTTCTGTAGAGGTCACGATTGGTTTGGTTGTAGTTGTTACTGTTTCTGTAGAGGTCGTTGTTGGTTCGGTAGTTGTTGTTGCTGTTTCTGTAGAGGTCATGGTTGGTTTTGCTGTAGTTGTAACTGTTTCTGTAGAGGTCGTTGTTGGTTTGGTTGTAGTTGTATCTGTTTCTGTAGAGGTCGTGGCCGGTTCGGTTGTAGTTGTAACTGTTTCTGTAGAGGTCGTGGTTGGTTTGGTTGAAGTTGTATCTGTTTCTGTAGAGGTCGTGGTTGGTTTGGTTTTAGTTGTATCTGTTTCTGTAGAGGTCGTTGTTGGTTTTGTTGTAGTTGTAGCTGTTTCTGTAGAGGTCATTGTTGGTTTGGTTGTAGTTGTTTCTGTAGAGGTCGTGGTTGGTTTGGTTTTAGTTGTATCTGTTTCTGTAGAGGTCGTTGTTGGTTTTGTTGGAGTTGTTACTGTTTCTGTAGAGGTCGTTGTTGGTTTGGTTGTAGTTGTTTCTGTAGAGGTCGTTGTCGGTTTGGCTGTAGTTGTAGCTGTTTCTGTAGAGGTCGTTGTCGGTTTGGTTGTAGTTGTTACTGTTTCTGTAGAGGTCGTTGTCGGTTTGGTTGTAGTTGTAGCTGTTTCTGTAGAGGTCGTTGTCGGTTTGGTTGTAGTTGTATCTGTTTCTGTAGAGGTCGTTGTTGGTTTGGTTGTAGTTGTATCTGTTTCTGTAGAGGTCGTTGCTGGTTTGGTTGTAGTTGTTACTGTTTCTGTAGAGGTCGTTGTTGGTTCGGTTGTAGTTGCATTAGGACTCTCATTATTTTGGGATGTTATATCTCCGGCAGTTTCAAATACAGCGCTTATCATCACTACGGTATTGATCATCACCCGATATTGGCCAAACATCCCTGTTATCCCTATGTAGCTCGTGATTATCGTAGTAAATTCAGAGTTGGCAGGTACAGTGAACGTCCCGGAGACAAGGATTCCTATCTGTACGACAATGCTGCCATTCCTGAATGAAAAAAACATTATAACGTCAACAAAATCAGACTGAAAAGATGACGGTAAAAAAAAGAATTATTCCAGACATTGATATTAAGTTAAACGTAACACAATACTTTTTCAAAACGGCTCGCACACACAAAGTATGTCAATAAGTTTATAAATAATATTTTGTGAATTGTACTATCGGTTTCTCGAACGAGATGGTTACACTATTTAATTTGTATTTGACTAGTTGAGTAATGGGACGGTAATGGTTGTCCAACATGAAATGGGTTAAACAGAAGTTGAGATATATATTAACCACACCATGCTTTTATTTCACAACGTTTTATTACCTGAGATCAGTGAGAGTACACAGTTTGTAGGAATCTTTCAGAGAGCTGTCACCTCTGTCGAACGCATTGTCAACCTGTATAATGAGGGAAATCACAGGTAAACAGGTTTTTATCGGGTCTCGTTATACAAGTGAATAGATGGAGACCTTGGGAATTAAACGTATTGTTCCATTTTTATTTAATGATTACTTATGTTTTCGTATATGGTAGAACTTAACAAGACAGAATATTCATTATAACACTATTTGGGAAGGACGGTATAGGTTTTGATATAAATTATAGCATGTGTTACAAAAATATATGTCATAAATATAAAAAAAATCGAGTTCTGAAAATGCTATTTAATCAATCATTACTTTCTTCTTTTCATTCATTAGATGTCACAGAGACCTTGTTCATTAACACCTTCAAAATCTAATCATATCGAAAAAAAAAAATGCATGTAGAATACATATCAAAATTTATACACACCAGGTCAGATACAAACAGCGTACAAGGCATATATATATACACTTATATAATATATATACAAGTATATATATGGTCATATATATGGGGCAAAGAAGTAATTCCAACAGTGTGGACAAGTTTAGGTTGTCAAATTTTCGGAGCGATCCGCTCCTTTTTCAAGACACAGTGAAACAGAACAGTTACATGTACATATACATCATATTACAAGAAGATAGAACTGATATACTATAATTGAAAATATAGCTATTATATAAACCAATAGTCCCCTCGGCTAAAGACAGCCGAAGGTAGCAGTTAAGCTGAGAGCATCGCGGACAAGGAACCCTGATGTAGAGGACCTATATACTTAGATATATACACACCAGGTCAGATACAAACAGCGTACAAGGCATATATATATACTTAGATAATTAGATATATACACACCAGGTCAGATACAAACAGCGTACAAGGCATATATATATACTTAGATAATTAGATATATACACACCAGGTCAGATACAAACAGCGTACAAGGCATATATATATACTTAGATAATTAGATATATACACACCAGGTCAGATACAAACAGCGTACAAGGCATATATATATACTTAGATAATTAGATATATACACACCAGGTCAGATACAAACAGCGTACAAGGCATATATATATACTTAGATAATTAGATATATACACACCAGGTCAGATACAAACAGCGTACAAGGCATATATATATACTTAGATAATTAGATATATACACACCAGGTCAGATACAAACAGCGTACAAGGCATATATATATACTTAGATAATTAGATATATACACACCAGGTCAGATACAAACAGCGTACAAGGCATATATATATACTTAGATACTTAGATATATACACACCAGGTCAGATACAAACAACGTACAAGGCATATATATATACTTAGATACTTAGATATATACACACCAGGTCAGATACAAACAACGTACAAGGCATAACTATATACTTAGATAATTAGATATATACATACTAAGTCACATGGTCATATTTATACCACAAATATACATACAACATGTAACTAGTTATATACGCACCAGGTCACAAATGTCATGTTCACATACCTACAGTAATATACATACTTAGTTATACACACCAGGTCACATGGTTACATACATACACTTATATACATATATAGCTATATACACACACCGTCACATGGTCACATTTATAATAGTTATTTACATACTTTATTAAATGCTCACCAAGTCAAATGATCAAATACATTCCAGTACTATGCAAACTTAATTATATATTGACAAGGTCACATGGTATCATACACATAGTAATATAATACTTAGTTATATACACACCAAGTCACAATGTCACATACATACCAGTTATATACAAACTTGGTTATATACACACCAGGTCACATGGTCACATGCAAAAGTAATATACATACTTTGTTATACACACACCAGTTCATATTGTCACATACATACCAGTTATATATACACCAGGTCACATGGTCACATAAAAACCAGTTATATATACACACTAGGTCACATTGTCACATACATACCAGTAATATATACACACCAGTTCACGTGGTCACATACAGACCAGTTATATATACAGACCAGTTCACATTGTCACATACATACCAGTAATATATACACACCAGTTCACATGGTCACATACAGACCAGTTATATATACAGACCAGTTCACATTGTCACATACATATCAGTTATATATACAGACCAGTTCACATGGTCGCAAACGTACCAGTTTTATATACACACCAGGTCACATTGTTACATACATACCAGTTATATATACACACCAGTTCACATGGTCGCAAACGTACCAGTTTTATATACACACCAGGTCACATTGTTACATCCATACCAGTTATATATACACACCAGTTCACATGGTCACATACATAACAGTTATGTATACACACCAGGTCATAGGGTCTAATACTCACCAGTAATATATACACACAAGGTCACATGGTCACATACATACAAGTTTTATATACACACCAAGTCACATTGTCACAATCATACCAGTAATATATACACACCAGTTCACATGGTCACATACATACCAGTTATATATACATACCAGGTTATATGGTCACATACGTGCCAGTAATATATACACACCAGTTCACGTGGTCACATACGTACCAGTAATATATACATACCAGTTCACATGGTCACATACATACCAGTAATATATACACACCAGTTCATATCGTCACATATATACCAGCAATATATTCATACCAGTTCACATGGCCACAAACATACCAGTAATACATACACACTATTTCATATGGTCACATACGAATCAGTAAAATATACATATCAGGTCACAGGGTCAAATACATAACAGTTATATATACATACCAGTTATATATACACACAAGGTCACATGGTCACATACATATCAGTTATATATACATACCAGTTATATATATATACACACCAGGTCACATGGTCACATACGTATCAGTTATATATACATACCAGTTATATATTTATACACACCAGGTCACATGGTCACATACCTATCAGTTATATATACATACCAGTTATATATATATACACACCAGGTCACATGGTCACATACGTATCAGTTATATATACATACCAGTTATAGAAACACACTAGGTCACATGGTCACATACAAACCAGTTATATATACATACCAGTTATATATTTATACACCAGGTCACATGGTCACATAAATACCAGTTATATATACACACTAGGTCACATGGTCACATACATACCAGTTATAAATACATACCAGATATATATATATACACCAGGTCACATGGTCACATACATACCAGCAATATATACATACCAGGTCACATGTTAAAATACATTACAGTAATATACACACACCAGGTCACATGGTCACATACATACCAGTAATATATACACACCAGTTCATATCGTCACATATATACCAGCAATATATTCATACCAGTTCACATGGCCACACACATACCAGTAATACATACACACTATTTCATATGGTCACATACGTATCAGTAAAATTTACATATCAGGTCACAGGGTCAAAAACATAACAGTTATATATACACACCAGGTCATATGGTCATATACATTCCAGTAATATAAACACACTAGGTCACCTTGTCATATACATACCAGTTATATATATACACACCAGGTCACCAGATATATATATACACCAGGTTACATGGTCACATACATACAAGTTTTATATACATACCAGTTCATATCGTCACATACATACCAGCAATATATACATACTACGTCACATGTTCAAATACATAACAGTAATATATACACAACAGGTCATATGATCACATACATACCAGTAATATAAACACACCAGTGCACGTGGTCACATACATACCAGTTTTATATACATACCAGTTATATATACATACCAGTTCTATATACACACTAGGTCACATGGTCACATACATACCAGTTATATATGCATACCAGTTATATATACACACTAGGTAGCTAGGTTACATACATACCAGTTATATATATACACCAGGTCACATGGTCACATACATACCAGTTATAAATACATACCAGATATGTATATATACACCAGGTCACAGGGTCACATGGTCACATACATACACGTTTTATATACACACCAGTTCATATCGTCACATACATACCAGCAATATAAACATACCAGTTCACATGGTCACATACATCCCAGTAATACATACACACTATTTCACATGGTCACATACATACCAGTAATATGTACATATCAGGTCACATGGTCACATACATACCAGCAATATATACATACCAGCTCACATGTTCAAATACATAACAGTAATATATACAGACCAGTTCACATGGTTACATGCGTACCAGTAATATATACAGTCACATACGTATCAGTTATATATACATACCAGTTATAGAAACACACTAGGTCACATGGTCACATACATACTTGTTAAACATAGACACCAGTTTACATGGTCATATACATACCAGTTATATATACACACTAGGTCACATGGTCACATACATACCAGCAATATATACATCCCAGGTCACATGTTCAAAAAAATAACAGTAATATATACACACCAGGTAACATGGTCACATACATACCAGTAATATCTTCACACCTGGACACATGGGCATATACATACCAGTTATATATGCATACCAGGTCACATGGTCAAATACGTACCAGTCATATATACATACCTGTTCACATGGTCACATACATACTAGTAATATATACACACCAGGTCCCATGGTCACATGGTCACATACATACCAGCAATATATACATACCAGTTCACATGGTCACATACATACAAGTAATATATACATATCAGGTCATATGATACCAGTTATAGAAACACACTAGGTCACATGGTCACATACGTACTTGTTAAACATAGACACCAGTTTACATAGTTATATACATCCCAGTTATATATACACACCAGGTCATATGGTCACATACGTAACAGTAATATATACACACCAGGTAACATGGTCACATACATACCAGTAATATCTTCACACCTGGACACATGGGCATATACATACCAGTTATATATGCATACCT